AACTTAATATTTAGGGTTTAGGGTTTAGGGTTTAGGGTTTAGGGTTTGTGTGTATATACACCGCAGGACAATACTGAAGCTGCGGCACCTCTTTGGGCGGAGACCGGCAGCAGCTGAGGAGACAGCAGCAGCAGCAGCAGCAGCAGAGGAAGCAGCAGCAGCAGCAGGGGAGACAGCAACAGGAGAAACAGGTGCAGCAGAGGCTGCTGCAGCCCCCGAGACAGCAGCAGCAGCAACACCAGCAACAGCAGCAGCAACAGCAGCAGCAGCAGCAGCAGCAGGTGGACGGGTAAAGAAACAAAGAACTGCTGCATGCGGGGGCTAGTGCTGCACTTGTTTGTATTCTGTTTGTATCAGGGAGGCAGCAGCAGCAGCTGCTGCTACTTTTGCTGCAGCAGCAGCAGCAGCAGCTAATGCTGCTGCTGCTGCTGCTGCTGCTGCAACTGTCATTGCTGCTGCTGCTGCAGCTGCTGCTGCAGCAAGTGCTGCAGCTAAAGAGCCAACATTTATTTAAAAACTGTCAACAGAAGTATCCTGATTGCATGCATTCGTCTGCTGTTGCTGCTGCTGCTGCTGTTGCTGCTGCTGCTGCTGCTGTTGCTGCTGCTGCTGCTGCGGCTGCTGCTGGGAGCTATTGTATAGGTTTGCTTTCTCTTTTATTGATATATGTCCGCTGCTGCAGCTGTTGCAGCAGCAGCAGCTGCTCAGCAATAGCTTCTCGTGTCTCCTCTAATATCACCAGCTGCTGCTGCTGCTGCAGCAGCGGCTGCTGCTGCTGGCGCTGCTGCTGCTGCTGTTGCTGCTGCTGCTGCTGTTGCTGCTGCAGCAGCATTGCCCCCAGCTGCTGCGCTCGCCCAGCAGCCTTCCTGAGACACTGCATGCGCACGTTTGCTGCTTGCTGCTGCTCGTCGAGCCGCAACTGCTGCTGCTGCTGCTGCTGCTGCTGCTGCAGCTGTCTCCTGCTGCACCATAGAAACAAACCGTACAGTCCCCAGCGGGGTCTCTCTGCAGCAGCAGCAGCAGCAGCAGCAGCTGTTGCTGTTGCTGTTGCTGCTGCTGCTGCTGCTGCTGCTTCCTTCGTTTCTGCTGCAGCTTTCGTTGTCTGCGGGTGCAGCACCTTTGCTGCTGCCTGTAAGATACGTGCTGCTCCCGCTGCTGCTGCTGCTGCTGCTGCTGCTTCTGCTTCTGTTGCTGCTGCTGTTGCTGCTGCAGCAGCAGGTGTTGTGTCTGCTGCCTCATCTGCTGTTGAGGTCTCAAGGTCCTCAGTGCATGCATTTGTCTCCTTTTGAGCTCGCACCTGCTGCTGCTTCTGCTGCTGCTGCTGCTGCTGCTGCTGCTGCTGCTGCTGCTGCTGCAGCAGTTTGGGTTTTCTGTGTATTTCTTTTTTCGGCTGTATGTACATTGCCTTCGACCCAACAGCAAGAGAGCAGCAACTCTCTCGTGCGTGCTGCTGCTGCGGGGAGACACATATCAGCAGCGCAGCAGCAGCAGCACCGCCGCGCCCCTGCAGCGCCG